TACTATCGAACCAAACCGGTTCGTTCACGAATGACGAACGTGTTCGAGGTTCGCCCGAACTCGCCTTAACAGGCGAACACCGAACATCTGTTTTTGCTAAAAATGTTCGCCGAACCGAACGGTGTTCGGTTCGGCGAACGGCTGTGTTCTTGCAGGGGCGAACACGATCCCTAGCTGGTCTCCACTATGCGAGGAATTTCCTCGTGCTGTTCAACCAGCTGGTACAACAATTTATGGTTCAACCCAAAGTACACAAATGTGCCTCGTAACCAGACGTATCAAACATGTTACGCATGCGTCTTAGGGATGAGCATGGAAATGAACACCTGTTTTTTGGCTAAAAATGTTCGGGGCGAACGTGTTCGGTGTTCGCCCGAACACGTTTGGTGTTCGCCCCGCTATTGCTGCTGAGCCGCGTCGAGCACGAACGCGTTCGTGTTCGTGTCGGGGCAAAAACGAACACGAATGTGTTCGACGCGACTGTCCCGCAATCTACAATCTACGTTGCGGGACATTCTGTTTGAGCTCAAACTTAGTCGCGCTATTCAGCAGCAGCCATTACTACCACACCCCCCACACATCACGCCGTTATCACCTCATTAGGACTTCGCGTAATTAAGTAATTACCTTAGGTTAGTCTGTCTAGACTTGGGTATGCAAGATTTAGGTTTTCGGGAAAAGATTAGACAGGGATACCGCAGAATCTCGTAAGTTAAGGGTTGGGGGAGGCATTCGCAAATTTCGTATGCATGGGATTGAGAGGAATAGCGTTCGCATATTTCGTGAGTTGGGGGTTGTGGGGGGTTGGCGAGCAATCGCAAATTACGTATATATAGAAGGGAGAGAGCATTTCGCCATACGTGGGGGGAAATCCAGGTGGCAAGCTGGATAAAAAAACTATGGATCCGTAACTAGATCTTGGAAAATGCTGATCCAGCCTAGATATTTTCCCCCAGCTTCCCGCAATTCCCCTGCCCGCCGAACCGTATTTCGAGCGTAACAAAGGATGCCCAGGGGCGAACATGAACGTGTTTGCCCCCAACACGTTCGTGTTCGCCTTAGCATGCAAGATGTTCGCCCTCACAGGCGAACATCGAACACCATTTTTTGTAAAAGGTGTTCGGCGAACCAAACACTGTTCGGTTCGCCAAACGGCAGTGTTCGAGCTGGGGCGAACGGGAACACGTTCGTGTTCGCCCCTTGCTCATCCCTAATGCGTCTCGTTTCACCTTGAGTCGCACATGCAACCTAACACTTTTGTCGAACGCGCCTGAAGTTCAAAATTCAGTACATTGTGGCCCACGCCATATTTCTAGCCCAAATTTCTCTTTCCGTCAAACTCATTTTCCCACTCTAGTCATTTTTTCGCATCGACTATGACAATTAACGGAGAGAAGAAGTGACTACAATGGGAGAATGAGTTTGACGGAAAGAGAAATTTGAGCTATAAATATGGCTGGTTGACAAGGCACTAAATTTTGAACTTCAGGCGCATTCGACAAACGTGTTAAAGCGACGAGCAACTTTTGGCAGTGTTGGGTTCAGAAGTTTTTTTTTTTAACCAGGCTTGCCAGCGCGAAAGTGCTGGCTGGCGAAAACCAGGATTTCGTGCGGACACTTTCCATCCGCAGTAAAAGTTCGCCAGGGTTCTGGGTTTTGGGTGGCAAATGTGCACCGTCGCTTTAAGATTACATGTGCGACTCGGGGTGAAACGAGGCGCATGCATAACGTGTTGGATGCGTGTAGTTACGAAGCGCGTTTGTGTACTTTGGGTTGAACCATAACTCTTTTGTAACAATCAATTGAAAACAACACTTGAAAATCTCTCTCATAATGGAGATTAGTGTTCAAATCTGATTGGTGACACTTTTCTGGCACTTCAATGAAATTTTTGTTAAGCCCCGTGAAACCCTCGCGAAGGCCCTGTCAGCCACTAGTGAACGCGAATCCCACTGAAAGGACTGTGAAAAGACCGTCAAGGCCCCGTCAAGGGCATGCGAGTAGAATCTCCGTGAAATGCCCGTCAAGGCTCCGCGAAGCGCTTGAGTCGCTAGTAAGGCGCTAGTGAAACATTGACGAAATTAAGAGCTGCGCATATCGTTGGAGTCGTGAGAACTAGGAGAACGCTATCTGCATTAACAAGCAGAGTTTTGCCTTCTAAGGCGTTTGCGATCCTAAGATTTGGAAACAGTGTCGATACACTTTCTGAACTCCCAAAACCGTCCAGTTGGACATCCCAAAAGACACTTCAGGGACAGAGCCAAAATCTGTCCCAAAATGACTCGTAACGGCACAGTTTTGGACGGAATTTGGACATGGGTAGTTGGCAAAGTCACCTTCCTTGCAACACACGGGGTTGCATATACTCGTTTGTACAATGTTGTCACTTCCCTCCAATTCGGTCCAATGACGAAGTGTACACGTTGAAGTGTACACATGGGTAGAGTCAATGGCGACGTCTACACATTTCGTGTAATCTCGCCGATTTGCGAACACGTGCCATCAGATGCGAAACTAGCAAGTGCAGGGCTTCGCCAGAAAGAATCTCGAGAAGCTTTCGAAGACCATGCATTGAAATCTGAAACGATCTCTTTTGTGCTGCCCGAAAAGACCTTGAAAAGACCCAAACAAAGGACACCATTCGGCTGGGTTTGGGACGTTTTGCTATGACTATGGCTTTGTTCGGCAGGCGCATCCGCCCAGATGGCTACAGTAAAGCGATCACCCTCGAACCTTCCTTGATAAGCTCTTGATAGGTTATCAAGGCTCATGATAAGCCCACGGCTGCTGGCGGATGGCTGCCGAACAGCCTTTTAGGCCCTCAAAAATATGGATGTCGCCGCGTTCCTGGACTCCAGGCCGCGTCTCCAAGCCGCACTTCGGCCCGATTAGAGTTGGGATAGATTTTGGACGGAGTCGTTTTCGGGACAGTCTTGGGTTACTTTTAGGCCATTAGCGGGACAGGGTGATTTGGGGTCAGCACAGGACTACTTTGATGTTAGGAACATTCCTCTCCTAGCAATCTCGCGCATTTTTTATGCGCGCATGGTGAGGCCTCTCGAGGTTGCATCATGCGCGCATCACTGGTGCGCGGCCACTGAATCACCATTAACAAGTGCTTTGCAAAGGAACCCTGAACGCGCTTCTAAGCTTCTCTGAAAGCCTCCACATTTTCAATGTCGATCCCCGATTCACAAGCCTCAATTTCTCAATGTCCGCATCATCCATCAGCCTCTGCCCATCAGGGATGCGCCTGCCGAACATAGCCTATGTGGTTGCTGATCCGCACTGGCCATTGTCTCACCTTGCGACGCCTGAAGCGGCTGGGCGTTGACCAGGGCGACGAGCCTGGCAAGTTGAAGGACGGCGAAGCACCATGCGAGAGCCAGCCGCGGCGCGCGCTGCACCCATCGCTCTTCTAGTAGCGCCATGATTCCCTCGCGGCTCACCGCCGCCGCTGCACGCGGCGATTGCTAATCGAGAATGTAGAGACTCGGAGTCTGCACTGCGTTGCTCTAACTGAGTCTACAAACGCTGATTCGGCCCGCGGCCCCGCCGCGAACCAGCTGCCCGTGACTGCTCTCCCCGGCGTCCTCCTACGCTAAATCTGATAGCGCTTGCTCGCGGCGTTTCCTTGGTTGCTCAACTCAGGCACACGATTGAGCCGCGTTTGGCTCCTGGGACGGATGTGCGGTCCGAAGAAGAGCGTAATCACTCGGAAAGAGGCGTTTTGCAAGCTTTCAGCGTCAGATAAAGTTGGACTGCTATGCGGAAGGGAAAAACAAGGGCGAGGACAGGCTAAGGACGTGGGCCCAATCGACTTTGATCGGCGCGATCAGAGGCGATCGAAAACTTTGAGGAAGGCGGGAAGCAGATTTCAGGCAATCAGGGGCAATCAGCTGATCGCGATCAGCTGATCGCGCCAAATCAATCAACCGCCTCTAACAGCCCGATCAGACCCGATCAGACACAATCGGCCCCAATCACTTGATTGCATGTGATCGCCGACCTGGGCGATGTACGCGAAATGTAACACTCCTCGCCATAAGGTCTCGAAAATCCTTGCGAATACACCCAGATCGGCGAGAACTGTGTGTTGGGACATGATGTTGGCGACATTACCACGCTACTAAGATTCGTCTATATCGCCAAAGTTGGGATGCAACTACCAGGTAATGAACCGACAGTTTTCATGCAAGAGCGCACAGCATTCGAGGAAAATCATCTCGGATCGGGCGGCGCGAAAAAAAACTATCACAAGCAATCCGATCCGACCCAAACCGATCCGATCAGAGACGATCAAAGTCGATTGGGCCCACGTCCTAACGTACTGTATGGAAAGTGGGGCATCGAGCAGGTCGACTGATAAGTACGCTTCCCCTGTTTCCCTCCTTCCCTTCCGCAGGGAGAAAGAAGGGAAATCGGTTTCGCTGTCGTATTAGAGCAGGTCTTACGTACTGTAATGATGAGCTGCTTTGGTTGTCAGCTCGTTGTGTGGATCAGCTGTTCTGCGTCGAAGCCTGGCAGGTCGACCACAGGATTTCCTATCAACACACTGTACACGCAGCCAATGTGTGGACCGCAGATAATCCTACAGCTAATGCTCGTTAGAGTCCCCCAAGGTTGCCTTGTGCTTTGGGCTTGTAAGTGGTTAGGGCATTTCGTGGGGTTCGTTGCATTTCGCATGGGCCAACATGGGCTTATAAAAAACACCGAATGTTACAGGTTTTTTTTACCCGAAACAGTGCTGGATTGCCGCATTTGTTTCGTAACTGTTATTGTTGTTACCACATTAATTCTTCAAACCGTATTGGCCCATTACAATATACAACACATTCCCTCACAAAGATCCCCAGTCCTCTCCCGGGCCAATCTCAGCAAGCCAACTCATCCAACATGAAATAGCACCAACAAGCACTGACATTACACCAATGTCAGTGAGATGTTGACATTGGTGCACTTGGTGAGACACCAACTCCCGAGAGAGGAGTTGGGCGCATTCACAGACGCACCCACTCCGCCGCGTCCATGAAGCCGTCCATGGCGGCAGGCGCGCCAGCATCGATGAGAGCCTGGCGAGGAGAGGGCGCCGTCATCCACGCAGGGAGGACGCGCCCGCGGGGACGAGCGCGCACGGCATCCGGGGTCTCGGACGGCCTGGGGGTGGCGATCGGGGTCGCGTTGAGGTTCAGGGGCGGGCTCGCCCTCTCCATGCGCTCGATGATGATCGGGTTGCGGATCTCGAAGAGGGCGCAAAGCTCGCGGGGGGTGATGCTGGTGGCGCGCGCGTACCCGATGAGCATCTCACATGCGGCGCGCGCATAGCGACGAGCCTCGCGGGACGCGGGGTTATCGTCGTTGTAGACAGCCTCCATGCTCGTAGGCGCTTCCCACGACGCAGCCGAATACGCCGACGCGGGCTCGTCGGCCAAAGGGTCCTCGCCCGGCTCCGCGCACGTCGGCTGCCCGTTGTCGATTGCGACAAAGTCGGCGGCCGGCATCGCGCTTGGCCCGAGGCCAAGACGATCGATGAGAATGCCCACGTCATCGATCTCGCCATCGAGATCGATGGCGAGCAGCGCAACACCACGGCCACCTGGGGTGAGGCCCGCGGCGCCCACGTGGGACAGAGACAGGGCCCACGCGAGAGGGAGGCACTCCGTCCGCCACCAGCACCTCTGAATCGTGCGCGGGCCGATGTTCATCCACGCGTCCAGCAGCCACGCCAGGACGTCGCGGAGATTCGGCTTGTAGCGCGCGAAATTAGCCGTGGCGCCGCCCTCTACCCATTTCGCGACGACGGCCTCGAGCCAATGCTGCCTGTAGCGGGTCTTCATCATGGCGATGAGGCTCTGGTCCAGCGGCTGAACGAAGCAGGTGGTGTTCGGTGGAAGGAACACCAGCCTGAGGTTGCTCAGCGACCGAGTGCGGAAGCCGAACAAGTCCTCGGTCTCGGCTCCCTCGGTCTTGAGCACGTGGCTCGAGGCGTTGTCGAGGAGGATGACGATGTGACGTTCCTCGGCGAACATTGCCGCGTTCAGTTGCTCCATGAAGTGCGTGAAGAGCTGCGGAGAATATATGGGAACGGGCGGGGGGAGAGACGTATATATGAGAGAACGCGCTCTCACAAACACATGCAAGCCTAGCATCTCCAAAAAAAAACCGAAGTCAACCTGGCGCACGAAGCACTTACCGGGGCGGTCATCCAGCCCTTCGCGTTGTTCCTCCAGTAGCACAGTGCGTCGGGGTCGAAATCAGGGCGGAAATCATGGGGCCTCTTCGACTTCAAGATGACGAGCGGGCGGAATGCATGGCTCCCGTCCGCGTTCACGAGAAGGCCGACGGTGAGTCTCTCCTTAGGAATCTTGCGACCAGCCACACGAGAACGTCCGTATGTCTTCCGCGGCAACACCGAGAGGAACAACGCGGTCTCGTCGAAGTTGTAGACGTCGCGCGGGGAGACGCAGAGGTGCATGAGAAGCTGCGGGAGCTTCTCCTTGCAAGTGTGCACGGCCGCCATGTCCTGATCCGCGGCTTCGCCAGCAGCGCTCTGGCACCGGATGCCATTGCGGCGCAGTGCGCGGCGCACCCATCCCACGGAACAGCGGAATGAGGGCGGCTTTCCCAAGTCACGTGCGATGACCGCGACGTGGTCGCCGATTGTCTGCAGCATGAGCGGGATTCCCGCCGGGCCGGCGTTCGAGATCCAGCGCACCATTGCGCGCTCAAGGTCGGGGTGAGCTCCGCCCCGAACACGGACGGGGTTGTTCGATGCTGACGGCGCGCTCCAACGATCAGCGCCCTTCAAAATCCGGCCGATAGTAGAGCGATCGGGGCGGATTCCGTATCGAGTAAAACACCAGCGCGCCAGGTCAACCTGGCGCATAAGAGGATTCTGCACATGATGCGCGCAGACTGCATTCTTAATGTACACGGGAAGCTGGGAGTGACGGTAGAGGCGAGGCATGGTTAGAGGGGTAAGTGAGACGAGAATATGAATGTCGAGTGTAAATGCGCGGCATTTTATCCTCCTTTGGTGCTCCTCGCTGTTCGCAATTCCGACGATGTTTGAAGTTGAGTTTTTGCCTTGTGCACCTTCAGCGGAGAATGAGCACTAGGAAGTGCGTGTAACATTCATAGGTAACCACCCGCCACACGATGTGACGTGTGTTTATTGGGCACGAGGGTCGTTTCCGAGTCAGTAACCCACATTCGGGGAGTGAATGGGCCCTTTGAATGGGTCTCTATCATGCACTGGAGACCGTTTCAATGCATCGGGTGACGTGGGTCATCGCTGTACGGGCAACCTCCACGTGGCGATTTTGCTTGAGTCTTGTGTGTTTGGCACACATTGAAACACGACGACGTGGCATACGGTAAGCAGTGAAGCCGTGCGCGACGTCAAACCCATTTCGTCCACGGTTTTCGCGCTGCCTGTCCCTGGCCTAAGAACAAGGAAACATGGGGGCGGGTGCGCTTGTTGTTGACTGGCATGTTGCTGTTGTCGTGATTACCCAACTTGCACAAGTGGTTTTGCGTGCCTCTAACCAGGGGGCAACTGCCCGGAACCAAATGCACGCGTGCAAGGTTTCTGTGGCGGGCAGGGCAAATTCGCGTGCATGGGTCGGGCATCATGTGTACCGCGCTAGCGTGGATTGCAGCTTCTCTCCAACGGATCGCCTCAGCACAACTTCCAAGGAAGCTGGAAATGTGTACAACTGTACACATTTGGATGAGCAGACACTAGTGTGGTGTGGAACAAAGGACGCATCCCCTCCTCACTCGATCCCCTCGATTTTCATTTTCATTGCATATTAGTCAACAAAATGACCGCCACATCTCGAGAGCATTCCCGAATCTACAGTAACATGTGTACCAAGAGGTTGTCCCCTGCCAACGATCGCGACTGCTGCTCAGAGATGCATACACCTGTTCCTCGCCTACTTCAAACCCTGCCATTATCAACCCCTTTGTCCTCACCTGTGGTCCTGGGGCGAGCGCGGTTCGGTCCAAGCAACATCACCTCACCAACCAGGACCGAGTGAAAACGCTCTAACATGATTCAGAATAGTTTGAAACCGTCAATTATTCCGTCAGAGTGTTGTTAAAATTGGAGGGAACTTTTGTTAGGACCAATTTCAACCCCAGAGAAAAAAGACAAGGAAGCGATCCAGGCCCAGGTGTTGAAATTGGCGAGGGACAGGTGTATCTCGAGGTCAGCTGACTTGGCTCCACAAGCCAGTACACCAAGTACCCGCCAACTTCACTAGGGCCAATTTCATCCCCCTATGTATTCGTTTTTTATTTACCCGAATTTGTGGGTTGTTTCAAACAAACTGGATTTAAGGAAAGGACAGGGACTGCGCACATGATTCAGCGGAAAAACGAAGAAAATACGTGGTCGCAACGGATGATTCACTCTTTGCGTTGTAGTCTGAACGTCAGATGGGGCAACATCGAAACTTTACAATGACTCGGATAGCCTCTAGTTCGTGTGTGTCTGATCCCTATAGCCAAAAAAGGTCAGTTTGGCTTTAAGGAAGAACTGGCAGGGCGTGAAATTGGCGAGGACTGTCAGAACATATATATATAGCTTATGCTGTTGTGTAGGCTATAGTGGGGTATCCCATAGGGGGTACAACCCAATTAGGGTTTCCTATATGTACTCACTTCATTCATAGTTCATTCATCCTTGTTCAAATCTTCACATGGTATAGAGCAGGTTCCCCCTTGGGAACTGTGCTTAGGGCCCACCACATCGATTTTTTTTTCCTGCCCGAAGCGCGCTCAGCCCGAGTCGCGCTCCGGGCCCTCACTTCGTCGAGCCGCCCTAGCGGCCCTTTACTGCGGCCCCGCCACTCGTCTCAGCGGCCCCGCCGCCCGTCTTCGCGGCCCCGCCGCCTCTCTCCTAGCGGCCCCGCCGCCCTACCTAGCGGCCCCGCCGCCCTACCTCGCGGCCTCGCCGCCCTATTGCGCGGCCCCGCCGCCCTACCTAGCGGCCCCGCCGCCCTTACTCGCGGCCTCGCCGCCCCATTGCGCGGCCCCGCCGCCCTACCTCGCGGCCTCGCCGCCCCATCGCGAGGCCCCGCCGCCCTACCTAGCGGCCCCGCCGCCCTTCCTCGCGGCCACGCCGCCCCATCGCGCGGCCCCGCCGCCCTATCTAGCGGCCCCGCCGCCCTTCCTCGCGGCCCCGCCGCCCCATCGCGCGGCCCCGCCGCCCTTCCTCGCGGCCCCGCCGCCCCATCAGCGGCCCCGCCGCCCTATCAAGCGGCCCCGCCGCCCTTCTCTGCAGCGGCTCCGCCACTCCTCTACAGCAGCCGAGCCGCCCAGCAGCAGCGCAGCCGAGCCGCCCAGCAGCAGAGCAGCCGAGCCGCCCAGCCGTCGAGCCGCCCTGCAGCCGAGCCGCCCGGGAGCCGAGTCGCCCTGCCGCCGAGCCGCCCGGGAGCCGAGCCGCCGAGCCGCCCTGCCGCCGAGCCGCCCTGCCGTCGAGCCGCCCTGCCGCCGAGCCGCCCGGGAGCCGAGCCGCCCTGCCGCCGAGCCGCCCTGCCGTCGAGCCGCCCTGCCGCCGAGCCGCCCGGGAGCCGAGCCGCCCAGCAGCCGAGCCGCCGAGCCGCCCAGCTGCCGGGCCGCCCTACTGCCGAGCCGCCCGACCTGCCCTGCCTGGTGAGCACAGCACCACTGTTACTGCGTGCCCTTCCCCTACTGCTTGCACTACTACACTGTCGTCGTCATGGCTACCCCTAGTGTCCTCGCTTTTGACGCTGAGGGTCGAGCCATTGACTTTGAGGTCTGGGTCGACGACCTGCAGCTGTTCTTACAGTGCGATAGGGCGGACGGTCTTTCCCTCTTTGACCTCACCTCTGGCGCCTCTCCTGCCCCTGCTGCTGATGCTGACCCCACTGTTCGCTCTCAGTGGGCCACCCGCGATGCTGCTGCACGTCTTGCTGTGCGTCGCCACCTGCCTACCACTAAGCGCGCGCACTTTAGTCAGTACAAGAGTGCTCAGACCTTGTACGACGCTGTAGTTGCGCGCTACTCTTCCCCTGCCACTGCTGCCCTGAGCCGCCTCATGCTACCATACCTCTTTCCTGACCTTGCTGCCTTTCCCACTGTCGCTGACCTCATTACGCACCTCCGCACTAGTGACACTCGCTACCGCGCCGCCCTTCCTGCTGAGTTTTGCGCCAAGAACCCCCCCCCCATGTACATCACTCTCTATTACATAGTCACACGCCTCCCTGACTCCCTTCGCGTAGTCAGGGACCACTTCCTCTCAGTCTGTCCCACCACTCTCACTGTCGACCTCCTCGAGAAGTCCCTCCTTGCGGCGGAGAAGAGCATCGTCGCTGTAGGAGCCTCTCGTGGTGACCCTCGCACCCCCATCTTTGAGGGGTGTTCTCCGTCCCCCCTGCTGCCCTCTGTTGCCTCTGCTGCTGCTGCCGACCTGCTTGGTCTTGAGTCGGTCTGCGCGGCGTCTGCCCCTAGCGGGAGACGCCGCCCTGGCAGGGGCAAGGGGGGCAAGGGCGCGGGTGGAACTGGCGGGGGCGGTGGAGGTGGCGGTGGAGGCGGCGGAGGGAGTGGGGGTGGCGGTGGGAGTGGTGGCGGGGGCGGTGGTGGCGGTGGCAGCAGCGGAGGAGGAGGCGGTGGTGGCGGCAGCGGTGGGAGCGGAGGCAGCGGTGGTGGTGGAGGTGGAGGCGGCGGTGGCGGAGGGGGTGGAGCTGGTCGGAGTGGTGCCCCGCAGCGTAGCGGCTCTGGTGGTGGCCAGCGTCAGCAGCAGCAGCAGCCGCAGCAGCAGCAGCGTTCGCGGGACATCCCCCCGCCCCAGCAGCTCCGTGAGTGGTACACGCAGCGTCAGCGGGGTGGGGGTTTTGGTCCGTGCACCTACGTCCTTCGTTCCGGCGACCGCGCGGGTGAGCAGTGTGGGGGTGCCCACCCCACCCAGCGCTGCTTTGGCCGCCTGACGGACGCTTGGCGTCAGCAGTTCCCCGAGGCCAGTGAGATTCCCCGTTGGGGAGAGCTGTCTAGGGCTGGCGTAGCTATCTTTGATCTTGACTTTGATGCTATCCTTGCTGCCATGTATGCTGTGACTATTAGTGAGGAGGGTGACTGTTACCGGTGTTTCCCGCCCGACCCGGGCATTGGTACTGCTGCGCCAGGTACTTCTGCGGCTGCTGCTCTCGGTGCCAGTGCGTCTGCACTCTCAGGTACTGGTGAGGCTGCGCTCTCAGGTACTGCGTCGGCTTCGGCCTCCCTCACCTTCACGCTTGACTCAGGGGCTTCTCGCTCCTTCTTTCGAGACCGCACCACACTCACGCCGCTTGGCCGGCCGGTTGCAGTCTCCCTGGCTGACCCCTCTGGGGGTCCTGTCCTCTCTCACTTCTCCACTGTCCTCCCGTGTCCGGCTGCCCCCTCGGGCACCTTGTCTGGTCTGTACCTCCCCTCGTTCTCGACGAACTTGGTGAGTGGTGCTGACCTGCAGGATGCGGGGGTTCACCAGTTTACTCCTGCGAGTCAGCGGGTGACCCACTGCTCGGACGCCCGCACAGGCCGACACCTGGCCACGTTTTCGCGTCGGCCGGGGTCGAGTCTCTACACCCTGACCACTGAGTCTCCTCCTGTCCCTGCGTCTTGCCAGGTAGCTGCGTCGGGTCAGGTGTTTGCTGCTGCGTCCAGGTCTGGTCCTGAGTCTGCCCCCTGCTCGTGTCGCCGCCTGTCTCA